CGTGACATAGATGGAGTGGTTGCGGGCGTTGAACGTCTCGTTGGGATCGCGATTGTTGTATGATACAAGCAGCGGCGAGTTTTCAGCCCCGCTCCTACGTCCGATGAGGTTGGAGCGGGTTTCTACTACTCCAGACGGTCCGCCGTCATTTTGGACGATTGGATCGATGGATAGTGTCATTGTCATCGGCCAAAATCAGTTGATCAAGTAGAAAACGTTCCTCTTTGCAGTCGAGGGCTTTGTACTAAGGCGTAGGTCAAGCGTAGATAGGTAGTGGGTGATGTTGGCCGGAGACATGGCATGGCTTCGATGGGGCGAGCCTCTAGATTTAATGTGTCGTGATCTTGGGCATAAGAGTTCGTTCCACCCCTGGAAATGTTTGGACGAGCACATCATGGCTGCGGTAAGGCAGAGCAGGAGAAAGCCTGTCTTGAGACGCGCCAAATGTATTTGATAGGTTTGCATTCATGACATGGAGAACAGGGGGCGTATCAAGCTGTCCAGGCAGCAGCAGAATGGAACGTGAGAATGTGGTCTTGGTGGGAGGCCCGTGGGCGTCGCCCCTCAACTGTTTGCCGGGGGAGGCCATCTTTGAGCAGCAGCTCGCGCGTATTCACTTCACGGTCATACACCTATGTGTTGCTATATCGACGCCGCAGGGTCGGCCTGGGTGCCCCGATGAGAACGAACTTGAGGTGCAGCCAAGTGGAGTGTCTACACTACACGCTACAAGGGTGCCTGCAAAGGCACGGTGGATCCGACGTGCTTGAGGTCCAGCTCACGATCGCCCACCGTAGTTGAGCGGGGGTTCTTGGCCAGCGCGGCCGCCCGCCTGATGGAGGGTAGCCAACCCCATCGCTGCATGTCCCTGCCTCTGCGAGTGACTTCGACTACAGTTGTGCTCGGATCAGGACACCCACACCGCCACGCGTGGACGAGACCTCTAACCTCGGTGCAGGGAATGCTGAAATCTTAGCACTTAATCCCCTTGCCAGGAGCGCGCAGATCGAATCGTATGACGCCTAATCCTGGACGACGAGATGGGCAGTACGATGAAAGGGAGGGTTGTCTTGGTCAAGTATCTGCATTGTCACGACCGCCAAGTCCAAGCTTCGCATGACCAGAAGCTGTGTCCGACTACATTGCCTTGCTTTTGATGTCGATATGCCTTCTCCGAACCTCACTTTACCGATGGCTGAAGCTTGTCGTGGTCTGTAGAGTCGATGCTGTTCTTGTCAAACTTCTCCGACATGGCGCCCGTCCCTTTTCGTCCCATCCACGGCATCACTGCCGTCGTGGCTCCATCCACCAGTGAAGTGTTGGGTCGCTCCCGTCACCTTGGCCACTAGGTCGACAACGGAACTAACTGCAACTTCGGTTTTGTCAATGTCGAATCCTTCGTGTTTGTCACGTTCTCCACCCGTGTTCACTGGGCGTTGTCTGAATCTACCACTCCTTTTTTTGCCCGTACTACCCTCGTTGCTCTCTCCCTAGCTATGCGGACCTCAAGTGCATCGAGAAGTGAGATACGGCGTGTAGGTGTCGCTCGCTGCGTCAACGGCTCCTTTGCCATTCATGGACTCTTAGGTCACTGATGGGTCCAAAGACGACACCACAAGAGCGAAATGAATATTGTTCATGAGCAAGTCTACATTGTGCCATCGTCTCTCCTCGTGTGCATCCTTAATCTACACCTATCTAATGGCCCCTAGCATAACTCCTTGTGTGACTCAATTGGGGTCGCTTCTGGGGTGACGGCGACATCTGATGTCGAAGTTCCGAAGTGAAGCTTGTCGTAGTCAGTTGAGTCGACACTATTCTTGTCCGACCTTTCCGACTTTGAGTCCTCATTCTTCTCCTCTTCGTCGCTTTTGGGCTCTTCAGC